ACCCAGACAGCTCTCTACAACAGTGTTGATAAATAGATGCTCAGTAAGTATTTTGAATGGGGCATGAATACCCAGAGAAAGTCAAAGGAGGCTTCTATCATAAGATACACAGGCAATCCCTTCGAAAAAAGATCTTTGGGGAAAAAAAAAAAAATCAAGCTGGTTCCCCAGCCACAAAATAAACACAAAATACAAAAAACTAAACAGTAAAACCCTATATAATGGAACAAAGTCTTCTGATATAAGGGATGTGGATTAGAATTTCAACTCCCAATCCTACCGTCTTGTTTGCTCTGCTTTCTTATTCTGTTCAAAGTGTGAAACCAGATCTCAAAGGTTGAAACATTTGACATCTGTCTCTTGGAGCATATTAATTTCTTAACTATAGTCGTTTTTTACCTGGGTGGGTTATCCATCGCAGAAAGCCTTACAAGCATGAGGAGGGCAGATGATTTAATGATCGCTCACTAGATTGTAAACCTGACTATGAATTCAGAGAGAGAAATTTGAAGAGGGTAGAAATTTGGCTTAGGTAACTGCTGTGTTATCAGTCAGATAATGTTCAAATCAAAAACAGATAGGAAACAGTGAAAGAGGGCATGAGGGTGTGGAGTACGATGGCCAGGCAGCTTTCAAGGACCATTCCAGGCAAGACATAAGATTTTTGTTAATCTTTTACTTGCACATACATACACACACATACACTCAAACGGAATTGTATTTATTACAAACTTTACGCTGAAAAACTTGTGGAGTATAATACTAAAAATGCTCTTACCTACTGGTTTCAATCAATATGAAAATCTGACTTGGATCCCTACACCTGTATTGTAAATAATTCATATGAAATTTATACATTCAAATATAGCCTGGATTTTTAATTTTTATGTTACTTTTATAACCAATCCTTAAATATTTTTGTATTTGTTATTGTTCAATTTAGCAGCCCTGACACTAACACATTCTATTCATTCAAAGTTAAATATTAATTAATTTATTTATCTCTCCTCTGTATTTGAGGAGAGGCCAATATTTACTATTGGCCTCTTTTAACATATGCATCTATATAACTTATGCTATGAAATATCTATCTTTATTTGCCTCAATAGTTTAAATTTTCTTCACCACCTTTGTTAAACAAACACTTCATTATTTTATTTCATCTGACTTGTTGAGTCAATATTCCAGAATGATCTAAATTTATATGTAAATATATAACATCAATTATGTAATTTCTTCTTAACTTAAAACTTTTCTTCTGTATTATTTGTGCTCTGAAAATCATGCAATTTTATTCTTTAAACCATCTGAATGGAAAATTCCTCTTATTTCTGGCCACATTATTTTTTTTGTGCTGTTTTGGTTTAAAAATTTGCAATTTTTGAATAGATATCTGAAAAGATACTTCTGAGTTTAAATCCTGGGAAAGCTTTGATGCGCTCATTCCTTGCTTTTTTTTTTTTTTCCAACTCATGACTTTTTAGAATTATTTCACAGAGGTGAAATTCATAAATATACAATTAACCATTTTAAAGTGTACAATTCAGTGGCATTTATGCATTCATGAAGTTCTGCCAACCACCATCTCTCTCTAGTTTCAAAATTTTTCATCATCCTAGAAGAACATCCTATTCTTACTAAGTAATAACTCCCCATTTCCCTGCCTCCATCCACTAGCAACCACTAAACTGTTGTCTGTCTCTATGATGTACCTGTTCTGAATAATTCTTATGAAAGGAACCATACAATTTATGACCTTTTGTGTCCACCACTTTCACTTAACACAATGTTTCTGAAGTTCATCCACATTGTGGCATGCTATTAGTACTTAATCACTTTTATGGGTGAATAATATCCTATTGAATGTATAAAGCACATTTTAGTTATCCACTCATCCATTGGAGGAAATCTAGGTCGTTTCTACTATAAGGAATAACGCTGTTACAAACATTTGTGCACCAGTTTCCTTGTGAACATATGTTTTCACTAATCTTGGATATATACCTTAAGGTGGAATTGGCAGGTTGTATGGAAATTCTATGTTTAACTTTTCAAGGAATGGCCATACTGCTGTCCACAGAGGTTGCATCATTTTACATTCCCACTAGCAATATATAAGGGTTTCTATTTCTCTGCATCCTCACCAAGCTTATTTCTTGTCTTTTGTTTAATTATTATTATTATTATTGCCATCCCATTGTGTGTGAGAAGTATTTTATTGCGGTATTTGTGTTTCTTTAATGTCCAATATTGTTTCATATCATTTTATGTGCTTGTTTGCCATTTGTATACTTTCTTCATAAAAAAAATAAAAGTCTATTCAAGTTCTTTGCCCATTTTTAAAATCTAGCTTTTGTTTTGTTTCTTTTTGTTTTTGAATTTTAAGAATTCTTTATTTAGTCAAGATATTAAATCCTTATCAAATATATGATTTGTAAATATTTTCTCCTATATATAATTTGTCTTCACACTTTTGATAATGTTCCTTGAGGCACAAAAGTTTTCAATTTTAATGAAATCAAATTTATTTTTTCATTGTTACTCATACTTTTGGTGTCAAATCTAAGAATCCATTGCTAGATCTAAGATGGTAAAGATTTCTCATATGTTTTCTTCTCACAACTTTCAAGTTTAGATTTTATATTGTATCCATTTGTGTCCAGTGCTGTATCTGAAGTGAAGTAGGTGTCCAACTTCATCCCTTTGCATGTGAGGGTCATCGAGCTTCTGGTATCCTTGCTGAAAATCCCACAGAATATTCTTAATGCACTCATTGAAAATCAATTCACCATGAATACTTGATTGTGTTTCTTTCTCTTTTTCTTTTTTTGTAATTTGTGAGACAGAGGGAGATAGCGAGCACAAGCAGGGGGAGCAGCAGGCAGAGGGAGAAGCAGACCCCCAGCTGAGCAGGGAGCCCAATGTGGGACTCGATCCCAAGACCCTGGGATCATGACCTGAGCTAAAGGCAGATGTTTAACTGACTGAGCCACCCAGACATCCCTTGAGTTTGTTTCTATCCTGATTTTATCCTATGGATCTTTACATCTATCCTTATGATACTACTACACTATTTGATTAATGTAACTTTCTTTGTACTAAGTTTTGAAACTGGGAAGTGTGAAGTAACCAACTTTGTTTTTCTTTATCAACATTGTTTTGGCTATTTGGAGCCTCTTGTAATTCTATATGAATTTGAGGATTGGCTTTTTCCATTTCTGCAAAATAAGAGTCTTTTTTTTTTTTTAACATATCGAATTGAATCTATAGATCACTTCAGGGATTGTTCTCATTTTAAGAGTACTGTTTTCTAATCCATGAACATGGGATGTCTTTCCCATTTAATTAGGTTTTTAATTAGGTATTTAATTAGGTAATCTTTAATTTCTCTCAGCAAAGTCTAGTAGTGTTCCATGGACAAGTCTTATGCATACTTGGTTAGATTTATCCTAGGTATTTTATTCTTTTGGATGCCATTGTAAATAGAATCATTTTCTTAATTTGCTCTTGAGTTATTCATTGCTGGTGTTGAAAATCAAACTGATTTTTGTGCATTGATAATGAGAATAGCTAATGTTATATAGCACATATTAAATGGTAGGCATTGTTCTAAAAGTTTTACATATTTATGCTTTCAGAATACTAAAATGGGTTGCAATAGCCCATAAGATAAAGGTACACGGTATTAGCACGGCATACAAGGCTGTTCTCTTTAGGTCTCAAAATATAATTCTATCTGTTGTGTCTACACTGACACTGAAACAGCTCACTGTCACTGAACACACTATGTGCTTTCATCCCTTGATGTTATGCACAATTGATCCTTCTAGGCTAGGATTTTTGCCCCATCTCATCTGTCTGAGAAACTCCCACTCATCCTTCAAGCCTTAGCCCAATAACTTTAACAGAGGGTACTCATTGAAAATACAGCATTTTAGAGGGGAGTTGGGTGGGGGAATGGGTGAAATAGGTGAAGGGGATTAAGAGCACACTTATGCTGAGCACTGAGTAATAATGTATGGAATTGTTAAGTCACTATATTGTACACCTGAAACTAATATAACGCTGCATGTTGAATATATTGGAATTAAAATTAAACAAAAACTTAACTAAAAAGAAAGAGACTTAGCTCAAATGTTGACTAAGCTACTTAATCAGCTCTCTTGTTATCTTGCAACTTGTATGTACCTCTTTTATAACCCATTAATCTGTGTTGCCATTATCTTTTCTGCCTATCCTGTTGCCCTTCACTATACTGAACTAGCTAGATGTAGGGACTGTATTTTACATGTATTTGAGCTCTAGGGCTTGGTACAATATCCAACAGACTGGATTTTCCATAAAACTTTCCTAAATGAATGAAGGTAACGAACACGAAAAGACAATCTGCTTTGCACAAAATGTGCTCAGCCTACTTCCTTCATCCAAAAAGCAGTCATTCCCCTACATGTTGTTTTTTTTTTTCTTTTAAGATTTTATTTATTTATTTGAGAGAGAGAGAGAGAGCATGCACCAGTGAGAGTGTGAGAGAGAGCAGGAGCAGGAGCAGAGGAGAGTGACAGAAGGAGAAGCCAACTCCCACCCCCTGAATGGTTTAAATCAAGAGAATTAACTTTGTTATTAAACACACTAGTGGTAGTGAATAAGGGGTCTCTTTCTCTTTCTCTTCTTCCCTTTCTCTCTCTAACCTGAAACACAAAGATCCTCTTTGTTCATCTAAAAACAAATCAGAGCAAAAATAAACATGGAAAGCCTAGAAATATGGTACTGTTATATGCCAAGTCAAAGCCTCTAAGAACATTCCCCTTAAACTAGCATGAAAACAAATGATGGAAAGCAAAATGAAAAGAGAAGCAAAACAGAAAGAAGACCCAAATGTGTTTCCAAAAGATCTGAGTAGTGTTTATACCTTTAATTAATAGTCTCAAGAGAGAGGAAGCGTTTGAAAGTGCGCTACAAATTACAATGTACTCCACAAGAGTGTGTAGCTGTTCACTCACCGAACACAGTTCTCGCAGGCACAGATTCTCTGTTAAGCCAGAATGACACTTGGGAGAGAATGACAGTCATGATGCAAGGCAGATATGTCTGAATCACAAAATACCCAATTTTTCTTTTCAAGTGGAAATGAGCTGTCATTACGGTATATTCACCTAGAAGAAAAATTTAAGAAGCTTAAGGAACTGTAATAGTCAATAGTTTGAACATTTTGGAAATGGAACGGATTTGAGAAAGAACAATCCCTGATTTAAAAAAAAAAAGAATTTATCACATATACGACATGAGAAGTATAAACCTTTAAATGCCTCTTTAGCACAGCAAGAATATTTAAGAGAATTTTAATATTACCAAGAAACTTGCACTAAATGTCCAAGGCATGACATTTGTTTTTCTCTCCAGGTCATGCCTACTGACCAAAAAGATACAGGATTCGCAAATGCTCTCTGACCGTGAATTATCTTACATGCTCAGATCTCTCATTCCCACTGGTACCAACTTCAAGCCTCTGCTTTGATTGTTCTAATTCCCTGGCTTTTTAAAGTGTCAGTCTCTGGCCACATCTCTAAGACTAACCCCAGGCTTTTGGCCCAAATTTTCCACTTTTGATCCTGTCACTATTCTGAATCTCTCAATTGTGTACATCGACTCTAATCTACTGTTGTCATTTCTATCCAATCCTGAGAGCCTTTCCTTTCTGCTTCCCCACGGTTAGATCTGCCAGAGATAAAATCATTAGTTCAACATGGCAGCTTTCTTAGAGGAGTGTGATCCTTAGGAAGGGCATCAGCTTTCCCACACCAACCAGTAGTAATGATCCAAAATTCAAGAGTTGAATAGTCACAAACTATTCTGAATAGGAGGAAAAGAATTAGAAAACTAGGAAAACTGTGACACTGTTTGATGATAAAATTGGCTTGTCTGCAAAGTAACACTCTTTTTGAATTGACAGTATATTTTAACCCAGTGTTTCTCAAACTTTATGTAAACCTCCTTAGAATCTCCTTGGATCTTCTTATAATACAGATCTTGAGTAAGGGGTCAGGTCAGAGACAGTAAATATCTAAAAGCTTCTACAATATATGCTGCTAGTTCCTGGACCCCAAGAAACAAAACTTTCTAAGCAAACTAACGTATTTTAGTGACTTCAACCCATCGATTTTCTTAGAAACTAGTTTAAGAGTCATTTTACTAACCTGTACTGGACTTAATTGTTTCTTTTCCAATTGATTGGCCCAGCAGATCATACTGATTTAACCTGGAGCCATCAGGAGCAACTTGTACTGAATCAGATGCATTATAAGTCCAAATATAAGTGACCTCTGAGGTTGTGTAGGCATCTGTAGGAAATCAGAAAAAAATATTTAAGCACTTTAGTATAAGCCATCAATAAAGTACAATGTCAAGGGTTATATATTGGATATAATCACTATTTATTATAAAAACTGATTTTACAGATCCTATTTTGTATAGTAAATATATCTTTAAAATTTACAATTTTTAACATGAAGAGTATGAAGTAGATCAAGAGAGAAAATCATGACCAAAGATTATTTTCATTATAACCACTTTGAGAAGTGAACAGCAAATTCCTCTTCAGAGCCTGCAAAAATCACTGGGCCCTGAGATGGTTAAAACATCCACCATAGTTCCAAAGTAATATATAAAGACATTGTAGTACACAGGTTTTAATGCCGAAAGCCCACTTAAATGGTTTATTTGGAAATAGCAACCACTCATGAAATAACATTTATAATTCAAATTGATATTACTCTCTGGGCATAAAAGTAACTTATTATCATATGAGAATACTGATGAAATGCAATCTCTTTATTTTAAGTACTATTTTCATAGTTTGTTTTATAGGTTTTCCTTCAAAACCTTCACCTAGTTAAGAATTAAATGACTTAGCTATCATGATACAATGCATTCCATTAAAAGAATGAGAACTAATTGTTGCAGAACATGTAAAAATAAATCAGAATGCTATAGTTTCATCAAATACTCCTTAAAACATATTCATTTTGAAATTAATGGACACAGACCTCACTGGACTATACTTTCATAGCACCTCCGTTATGGATTGGCCAGAGATAAAACACATACAGACCAAATATAACCTTCTGATTTATCTGGCCAAAGATACAGAACTTAGTGGAAGTTAGATAATTCTAGCACTAGAATTGTCTTAGCTGCTCTCTGGCCCCGGCATTTCCTTTAAGCCTGTATGTCCGGGAGGGGAGCAGCTGATCTCTCCATGTGGGAAGTCTCTCCACAGTGGAATTAACAGCCAATTCTTGCTATAGTATTGACTTTTTGAAGAACTTCTTTGTACTTTTGCTCATGGGAATGTTTAGAAGTATTAGCTACTCCTGGTTCTTGAGCAAAACTCAGTATCACAGTTACATTCTCAGTTTAAGGACTAGCTGTTTCCAACAATATCTCTGCCCACTAGATCTCTGGGACTCTGGGAAGCTCATTTACAGGCCATATAGAAGTCTTCTAGTTTGATAGCGTTGTTCTGGGGTGGCCCTGCTACTTACCTTGGTCTGATGTTGACAGATCACAGACCAACTCACACTTAAGCATCAGTCACAATAAAGGGAATGTTCATGAGTTTGTTTCTTATTTGTTGTGTGGTCTTAATGACATACTACAATGTTGTCTGGTTTCTTCATGTTACTACTAAATGCTCCTATCAGTGAAATACTGTTTTCATTGTACACATATTCACCTATATCCATAATTACATTCTGTGAAACAATTTTTGAAATAGGACTCTAAAAATATGTAGATGTGTGTGTATCTTTATAAATGTGCATATATATATATAGATATATAGCAAATATAGTCCTATAGTTTGCATATGAATGAATTCTAGTTACTCTAGGATCTAAATTTGTATTAATTTCGATTAGTTAATCATTGGTGATTCTGCTGCTATGATTAAATAAGGGACATCAGTAATGTGTGTAACTAGCAACCCATTTGCACAATATCAAGTGGCTTTTTTTTCAATGAATAAGCATTAGTAGTTGTGAATATCAATAAATTATGAACTTTTTTAAGTATAATGATTCCACTCTTGAATTTTGATGTTTATTTTTAAACATAAATAAGAGAAAATGAAACCCTACAAATGCAGCGACATTTTTAAGAAACTAGTGAGACACCGAGGGGCAAGGACTCTATCTTGTTCATAACTACAGCACTTGCACCTGGCACAGGGCCGGTCACCTAGAAAAAGTTCTGTTTGTTTTTGCTAGATTAATCAATAAACGCTTCATATTTTAATTACGTTATTTACTTTTACGGAAGATGGAATCTGCCAAGCAGCCCAAGAATATGCTAAAGAAGGTGAGTGATCCTGCCCATGTCTTTTAAAAAGGAATTACAACATTTAATTAGTTAGATAGGAAGATTTTTTTTAGATTTTGAGTCTAGTAAGAGAAAATAGAGCAGAAAGTCATGCAGCTTACAAGCGTTCCCAGTCCGCCAACACACATATAAACCAGGAGGCCACTGCACTATTTTTCAGTAAAGTATAAAGGAGAGAAAGATAGTTTGGTTTACAAATTTCCCTATAAATTCCATCTCTAAATTAGATTTTCATTGAATAATTTCATTTAATTCTCTTAAATAACCCATTTTTCAGTCATAATCTGCATTAAACATCAAATGCATCTTGACTGATTCTTAGTATTTGGTAACCAGAAAAAAAAAATTCCCGAATCATTTTTAATTATTAATTTTCATCCCAAAAGATGACATAATTTCTTTTGGATCAATGCACAGAACACATCCAGACTCCCATTTAGGAAATTTTAAATCACGTTAAGCGGCAAGAAAATACATAAAGACGTGAGGCAACAGAAATAAAGCAAAACAAAAATGAATTCAAAATTATAAACTTATACAAAAGATGCATCTTTAAGAACAATGATAAATTTCCAGAAATTCTATCACTTTAGGGGGCTTTTAAGCAAGAGAGGAATAAAAAACTAGAAGGCAAAGCCACGGCAGTTTCTGAAAAAATCTGTTGTGTCAACATTTTAAGGCAGTTTAAAGCTTGTGTTGGCTTGTTAATATATTACAACATGCAAATGCCCATACTTTTTAATTTTATTAATATTTATTTATTTATTTGTGAGAGACAAAGAGAGAGAACTGGGGGTGGGAGGAAGGGAGAGAGGGAGAATCAATCTCAAGCAGGCGCCATGTTCTCTGAGGAGCCTTGAATCCGGATCTCAAGACCCTGAGATCATGACCTGAGCTGAAATCAAGTCTAATGCTTAGCCCACTGCGCCACCCAGGGGGCCCTTAAAGTCCATCTTTTTAACACTTAAATATCAACCACTTACTATTGGCAAGGATAAATAAAAGAATATACAAATCAAATTGTTTATTCAATGTGCCAGAAAATAAACGAAGAAAAATAAAAAGCAATTACTTAGAGAATGCCTAACAATAAACTTTGTTTGTTTTCTGTATCAATTCTAGATACAGAAACTCACACATACAACATTTCACTATTCTATAGATACACTACAAGGGATTTTTAGATTTTATTTAAAATATTTTCAGGCATATTTATTTCATATTCAGAATTAAGACATCACGTTATTTATATTTGTTGCCTTAATGGCACTAACTTGTCCAGTGAAAAATTCTTTTCCTTCTTATACCATTACTGCATTTTGAATAAATCCTTTCGTTGGTTATCAAGGCTTTTCAATTTTCTCTTTAATGCCATTTATGTGATGCAAATGAGTTTCTCTCTGCTGCATCTGCTGTAGTTTTTCTCCATCATGTTTACGTCGTGTAACATGATTGACTATCTTAAATAATTTTGGGAAAAATGCCAGTATTGAAGTGATAGTTTCCATGACAATAAAAGAAGGCTTTGTAGTTAAACAAAGAAGAGATTCTCAAAGAAAATTGAGAGCTGACACCTTTTGTAAGAATAAACAGAACAAGATTGAACTTCTCATTCCACAAAACTATGGTCATCCAAATAATTAGAAGAGTTTGCATTCATCTTAGCCATCATTCTCTTTTCTTTCACTTAATACATCTGTGGAGTGAAGGCACCTATTCAATCACGCATATTTTTAACCAGGTGAGGGAACTGCATTTCTGTTCAACTGAATGAAAAGTCAAAAGGTGCCTCGAATGGATAAAGATGGGGATAATAGAAAGAGCAAGGTTTCTGAAAAGGTCAGGTGATGGGACATGCTAACACCAGAGAAACTGTTCCAGCTGTGTCCGTGAATTTATTGTGAACCTGCCCTAAATGTGGGCCTGGGGAGATGATTTGACCTCCCTTCTTTTCAATTATTCCGGGAGAGTGAATGCTTCTACTTGACATACAAGATACAACCTCAGTGACCTAGAGAATGGCCACATGCACAGAGCCTTTTCTGAAATATCTTATGTAAGCAGAAGATATAACAAATCCAGTTACTCATTTCCTTAAAATTTATTTTAGGAAATTGAAAAAAGAAATCCTTCCATTATTTGGAAAGTAGGAAGATAATTGCACACAGCCAGCTTCTGTGCCTGCCATTTGCAAAAGGCTTAACAAACAATATCATCTACCCCTTACGGTTCATTCCTAGTTACAAAAAAAAAAAAAAAAAAAATTACATTTTTAAGGAGCTAGCAATTGGAAAAGAAGGTAAATGACATGGTCTTGACCTTCACAAGCAGCTCCTGGACTACCTTCCCATGTATAAAAACACATGATGTTCTTTAGTGGCAGTAAAGTGATAATTTAAACATCATGATTAAAATATAATGATATTTGATGGGGCACCTGGGTGGCTCAGTGGGTAAGGCCTCTGCCTTTGGCGTGGGTCATGGTCCCAGGGTCCTGGGATGGAGCCCCACGTCAGGCTCTCTGCTCAGCAGGGAGCCTGCTTTCCCGTCTCTCTGCTCGCTACTCTGCCTACTTGTGATCTCTCTCCCTGTCAAATAAATAAATAAAATCTTAAAAAAAAAAAAAGAGAGAGAGAAAAAATATAATGATATTTGAGAGTGCCATAGGGATGGACAATTAGTTCCTAGAGGGAAATCAGCAAGTCTTTTACTCCTATATTTTTCTGGGCAAATATTAAGCATTCCATAATATTAGAAGAAACCATACCGGTAAGCAATGATGCTGGCCACCCTGGATTCTACAGGCCCAAAACATGTACCTTCATCCCCATACTTACAGCTGCCAAATTTCAGAGGACATGAATGAGCGTCCATGGGAAAGTCCTCCAAGTGCATTGGACATTCAGCTTGAACTGTAAGCCTAAAAGCAAAAATTTCACTCTTTGTTGAAATAAATTGACAAGACAAGATTAATCACTCCTCCCTGTTCTCAACAGCATCAAGGATGAGGTAGGACTTTCTTTATAGCATTGAATTAGGCTGATTCACATTTAAATGTTTATTTAGGTGATCCTTCAAAAGACATGAGCATATATAAAAACTGAGCTCAAATAACAATATTTATTTACAAACATTTGGAACTCTGTAGTTTGTTAAGAACTAAAGAAGTTTTTTGTTTTTTTGTTTTTATTAAGAAGTAAAGAAGTTATATACACATTTTTGAAGGGCTATTTTCACATTAACATTCACTATGACATTTAAAATCCTGGGGAAAAAAAAGAAAAAAAAATTCTCTATCATGAAAAGAATGCTATTTTCCTCCCTCATGTCATCAGCAACCATAGAACAAAACTGATACAAGAATTCAATACTAGCTCATAGGAGTTCCCTCCAAAATATGTCAACTGTGAATGAGTATCACATACTATATACAGGTACATGGATTTAAATATAGAAGTAGATACAGATAATATATAGATATGCTTCTTAGAAATACCTTGTTGAAACTAGACTATGGGCTAAATTATGGACACAAGCAATGTACTGTTAAATAAATATTGTTTTTCTATATCTACATGATCATATTAAAGAGTAATCACAGCAAAAAAAAAGAGTAATCATAACAAACTTGTTATAAAGACAGTCATCAATTATTCCATTTCACACACAGGTAAAATGGATAGAAATGGTATTAAACTGAACTTAGAGAAGACTCTTATGATGAGCAAAACAAATGTGGCCAACAATTTAATTATTACGCATACTTCTAGGAGATTATTTAAGTAGAACACGAAGAAATATTTTCCAAAACTGTATGTTCTCTGCCAACATTTTGTTTAAAGCCAAAATTTCCCATCATTGTCTTAATCCACGGGAATATTCAAAGTGTAAAACCAACAGGGATATTGCATTTGTATTATAAAATTCAGAGAGAGAGGCAAAGAATAGCTAGCACTTCCGTTTTAGGCAATGGCCATTTAGTAATCAGTCCTCAAGAATTTTTTCTTTAAAGATCAGGATTATATTTTTGCCGCTTTTTAAATAACTCACACAACTGAAATCTACCACCTAACATTTCGTATGAAATAATAACACATCAAATGTTTAGAATACATATCTAATCTATATTTAATGCTAATAAAAATTACCCATGTTTTAAAGTCTTTATTAAGCATTTAATTTTTAGATTATACATCACTTTATTAGGTTTGTGATTGTTTTCTTTCTTATATAAGTAACTTATTTTAAAAGATTATGAGTAGAGTTAAAATGTAATAGTTGCTATACTGTAAATATAAATATATACTGTATATGTAAATATAGAGTCAGCAACTGTGTATTTCTTTAATTTTTAAAAAAGATTTTATCTATTTACTTGAGAGAGAGAGAGAGAGAGAGAGAGTATGGGTGGGGGAAGGGCAAAGGGAAAGGGACAAGCAGACTCCCCACCAGACTGGGAACTTGATACTGGGCTTTATCCCAGGACCCTGAGATCATGACCTGAGCCAAAGTCAGATGCTTAACTGACTGAGCTGCCCTTCTTTAGATAATTTTTTAAAGGTTGAATCATATGAAATTTATGCTACATGATACTATTTGACTTACAAAATGGCAATTTATATTGTTCAATCTAATATATATGCTTATGGTATTTGTAAACAGTATTAAATAAAAACTACCTCTTGAAAAATTTTTTTTTCTTTAGATTAACTTTATTAGGAGGATCAAAATATTAAGTAAAAAGTTGCTTAAAAATCACTTAAAATGTTGATGGCATATCTGACGAAATACTAAAAATAAAATTACATGATGGTATAAAGGAAATTTTAAATTATGACATTCAAGCTGTACTTAATTAAAATGTAGTGTGAAAAAGAGATAGACAAAAACAATTCTTAATAGTTAAGGTAATGCTTAAGTTTTAACACTCAGATGATAATCAGTCTCATAAACACTATTTTATCTTATTTTATTTACCTTTTTAGAGAGAGAGAGAGAGCATGTACAAATGTGAATAAATTGGGGGAGGGGGCAGAGGGAAAGAGAGAGATAGAAGGAGAATCTTATTAAGCAGGCTCCATGCCCAGCACAAAGCTAGACATGGGGTTGAATCTCACAGCCCTGAGATCAAGACGTGAGCAGAAATCAGGAGTCACATGCTTGACAGACTGAGTCACTCAGGTGCCCCTGTTTTATCTTATTTTAATATCTAGGGATTTACAAAGCATGCTATGGGTACCTCAATAATCTGTTATAAAAATGTTCAATTTGTGGGGTACCTCGGTGGCTCAGTGCATTAAACCTCTGCCTTTGGCTCAGGTCATGATCTCAGGGTCCTGGGATCCAGCCCCACATCGGGCTCTCAGCTCAGCAGGGAGCCTGCTTCCTCCTCTCTCTCTCTCTGCCTTCCTCTCTGCCTACTTGTGATCTCTGTCTGTCAAATAAATAAATAAAATCTTTAAAAAAATGTTCAATTTGTGCTTATACTTGACAACTAGGTTGGTTGTTTAATACATGAATTTTCAGTACTTAAATGCAATATATCAAACCTGAAAGCTTACCTCATTGTGTACAGCAGAGTCCCATCGTCCTGGATTCGAAGAAGCTTATTTGGCATTGTCATATTATGAGCGACTGATTTCTTCCCATTGTGAAAGAAGGTATCAGGAGTCCAGATTTTGCTAGCCATTAAATTGTTAAGTCGAAGAATGTTCATAGGACCTTTAAATTTTAACCGTTCATCTTTCCATTTTTGTCGAAAGAAAACATCAATTGTATATTCCTGAAATAGAAAATAGAATTCTTTGGAAAATAATAAATGTTTCAGACATAAGGTCACCATAAAATTCCAACAAAAACAGTAATAAAAAGAGTGTAAAAAGAGAGAATACTATACTGAGAGAAGAAAGTTTTGAAAAATTATTTATCAATAAAGTTGCCACTTACAATGAGATAAGCATGTGTATGTATACAATTAGCCACATATTGTGAAAAGAAAAGTTTAAGTCTACTTTATCCTGGCCTCTTTCAATCAAACAAGGTCTTAAAGTGCTTTCCTGCATCCTAGAACTTATGAGTAAAGGAGAGGGAGCATGCTTGGGAACAGGGTCTTGGTTATTGTTCTAAGTAGTTTATCTCAAGAAAGGGTAAGCAGGCAGCCTCTCAGTAGCCAAAAAAAAACAAAAAAAAAAGCAGGAAAAAAGAAACAACTATTAAACATACTATCAAATCTGTATGAGTCATCATCTGCTGTTGCTAAAAGAACTATAAAATATCATATTTCTTTTTTAATCCTAAAAAAAAATGGTGAGACACCATATTGCTAGCAAGAATGTATTAGTGGATGATAATTTCAATAGAGTTTATTTTATAAAATCCGTTGTAATAAAAATACTTAGACAAGTTATTGTAATAATTAAAATACAAATATTTTACAAATAAATGCCCTCAGGTTAAAATGTATTTTTAAATATTCATATAGATGAGCTAGTGGTCAATTCCTATATTACCACTGTTCAACACTTTGAGGTTGCTTAATCAATCAGTATGTCTTTCTCACCTCCTCTTTCTCACTCCCCTGCTCCCTGCCTTCCTCTCTCTCTTTCTCTCTCTCTGTACTTTTTAGAATAGACTGTATACATTTTAGACACAAGGTCCAATTCACAATTGTGATTAATACTGATAATCTATTAGATATTAAAATTTTTGTCAATGTGTTTTTGTGCAAACACTTACATGATAGATCATCAAAATACTCAATTACACACTTGAGAATGGAAATTCAGAAACTATCCTTTGAGCCCAAAGCCACAGTCATCACGTTTGAAATAATCACCTTAGCAACTGGCAATTTCATTCAACCAAAATTATGCATATGAAAAAGGATAGATTAAAAAGGCCATGTACTTGTGAAAATATCAAATTATTTGTACAAACTTTAATCAAGTAAATGATTCCAGTGATGTCTCAAAAACTGAATGGATGAAGAGAAAAAATATCAACCATAGGTCATGATATATGAACAGGAAGTAAGCAAAGGCTCTGGGCTGTGTCCCTGTTCCTTAGGAGACAATTTCATGATTAAACGGACACTCATCTCAGTGGTTTAGTCCTAATTTTAAAATGTTCAATTCCATATAGATATAACTCAGTTTTTTTAAAAAAACATCTAGATTAAGAGATGAATCTTCACTATCTAAGTGTTTATGCAAGTGTTTCTTTCCAATTATGGTTCCCTCAAATCCAAGCCTAATGTGAATCCCTAAGACATTTATTTGCCCAGGAAAATTGAATGCATTTTACAACTTTTTATAAAACATCAAACTCAAATTTTCCATTTCTGTAAAATTATAAGTTTTATCTGTTTCAGACGCTGTTGCTAAGGCAATCATTTCCTGCAGATTTACCCTATAGGAGATACGAAAGGTTTATAAGCAGGAAGCTTCAGGTGAGTTCTTTTTGAAAAGTGTTTTCAGGAACACTGTTTCTGAGCATTCATGGTGTCCTAAGTATGTCTGTCAACCTGCTGAGAATGATCTGTGCCTTTTCTCCCCCACCCACTCCACCCAGGTACTCACATTATGTTGTTGGCAATTTTAACAATCCCCACTTCTTACCATTTCTCACCTAAAGCAAGTTTCTTACCTGATTGAATCAGGAACTACTCATAACCACACTCTCAGTCCTTTGAACACCCAGAAAATACATAGCCAGATGTCTGTGTATCTTCATGACTCGTAAAGTGTTCTATTACTGTAAGATCCCATGCTGCAATGGTATGTTTGTTCCTCTGCCTCCAGACAAGCTTGCAAATCTTCACAAAAGGCACCATGGCTTTCATTTGTGTATTATCTTAGTTTGTTTTCAGACATATATGAGAGTATAAAGAATATAGTAAACATCTTGTAACCATTACCAGCGGAAATGCCACCTCAAATATTATTGAAGCCTTCTCTCTCATTTATTCCTCCTCAATCACATTCCCCTAACTCTCCGAGGAAATAATCATCTTGGATTTGGTGTTTATCATTCCCATACAGGTGCTTAAATATTTTTTTTTAAGATTTTATTTATTTGACAGAGAGAGATCACAAGTGGACAGAGAGGCAAGCAGAGAGAGAGAGAGGAGGAGGAAGCAGGCTCCCTGCGGAGCAGAGAGCCCGATGTGGGGACTCAATCCCAGGACCCTGAGATCATGACCTGAGCTGAAGGCAGAGGCTTTAACCCACTGAGCCACCCAGGTGCCCCCAGGTGCTTAAATATTTACCACATAAATATATGTGTTTCTATATCACATTTTCAACATTTATGTAAATGGCATCATATAGTGTGTATACTTTCCTGACACTAACTTTCTTAGCTACATTATCGAAATTCATTCATGGTAATTTATCTAGTACTTTGATTCATTTCCATTGCTACATAGCATTATCTTTTAAGAATATTTCACAATATTCACCCTTTTTCTATGTTCTTATTTTTTTTTTCTACTTCCAATCTGTTATATAGCAAGTAATACTGCTACAAGTATTATTATACTACACTTTCAGGACAAAGACCTAAGAGTTACTCTAAACCAGAGCAAACTTTCTTCGTAAAGGGCCAATTAATAAACACTGTAGGCTTTACAGGTTGTACGGTATTACAACCACCCAATTTTGCTACTGTAGTGTCAAAGTCTCCACTGATGATACATAAATGAGTCAGAGTGGTTATATTCCAGTAGGTCTTTGTTTATAAAAATAGGTAACTGATAGGATTTGGCTGATGACCCACAGAATGTCCACCACTGCTGTAGAGTAAACCTACATGTGGGAATACCATAATGTATTTTATTTATATCCTCAACATAACAAGATATTTTCAAATTGAAATCCTAGAGGTCTGTACCCATGAACTCTCTTGTTTGTGTACAACTTGATATAAATAGAATATTTCATTTTAGCCATTGTGGTTAGTGTGGAATGGCTGATACTTCTACCATTGGATTTCTCTATTGACTAGTGAAATTTAACATATCTTCATATATTTATTAAACACTCTACTTTTTATGAAGTGTCTGTTTATTTCATGTACTCCATTTCCTCTTGGGTTGTCTTTTTATTATTGAGTTATAGAAATTATTTACATTTTCTGAATATAAATATTTTAAATATTAAATATACTACTAAGTATATTTACTGCTCAGTAAGAATTATAATAAAGATTATAAAGGTATGCAAATATCATAAATACATCCCTGTACATTTCTTCTAAAGATGTGAAAGTTCTGCTTTTTAACATTTAGGTTGTGGAATTATTATGTATTACATGAGAAAAAAATTCAACATTTTTTGTTTGTTTGTTTGTTTGTTTGTTTTCAACTTCCTAGTACTATTTATTGACTGATTCATCTTTCTCCACAGATTTGTAATGACATTTCTCTGATGTATATAGTGCCCATACCTATGTACCCAGTGTCCATGTTTCTGAGATTTCTCTTCTTTGCTATTGTTTATCTATCCCTGCATTAATTCCAAAGTCATGGTTACTACAGTTATATAATAAGCATAATTAATAGTATTTTCAGTATTATTCAGTCAAAGACAATTTTTAATTCCCATTATGGCTTTTCTTTTTCTTTACATAATACTGTGAAGTACGTTTATATTTCCAAATGTATTGGTTTCCTTAATTATATTTTTGTCATTGATGTTTAATTTTGCTGGATTTCAATAAGAGACTATGTTCTGAAGATACCATTTCCAATTTATTAAAAATATCTTTGGATATAATGTAAATTCAGTCCGTTTACATTTAATGTGATTACTTACATATCGGACATATCCCCAGGCTGTATTGTTTTTAGCAGTGACAGTTAAAATTATGAAGATAGAAGGGATCACTTATATAGATGTGTCATGATTAACTTATGAAAATAAGGAGGAAAAAATTCTAGAAAATTAAAGAAAATGAACCATTGAAGAGCAGAAATACACACACACACACACACACACACACACACACACACAAAATAGCAGGAAAGAAAAATACCAAACCAAGGAAAAAGAAAATTTAAGAAGCATGTAGAGATAAACAGTGTCAAACAGGGGCGCCTGGGTGGCTCAGTGGGTTAAAGCCTCTGCCTTCGGCTCAGGTCATGATCCTGGGGTCCTGGGATCGAGCCCCACATCGGGCTCTCCGCTCAGCAGGGAGCCTGCTTCCCTCTCTCTGCCTGCCTCTCTGCCTACTTGTGATCTCTGTCAAATAAATAAATAAAATATTATAAATAAATAAATAAATAGATAGATAAATAAAAGTAGTAACTGAAGCCTTGCTAATAAAGAATATAAAGAACGATATTGGCACTCTCACTGCCCCCATAAGTCGATGCTGGTCGTAGAGGTAAACCACTGAGGAATGGTCGAGTGATGTCTCCTTCATTTGCTCTCAGTGTTTTGTGATATAGAATCAAGTGAATTTGCAAGTTATAGAATTTAGTTTTAATTTAACTAACACGAACAAAAATAGACAAATGGCTTCAAAAGATCATTGCTAAATGACAGCATGGATTGAAGAAAACACTAATCATTACGCAAGCACAAGTGAACCAACAACAGCGAACGAGTATCTGTTCTATGCCTAACATGAAGTCTTCATTAGCCACACAAAGAATGGTGAACTAATCTAGTCTTACAAGAAATCTGCAAAGCAAATTTATAATTATCAATGGAGCTATTTAAAGTATGAGTTCATAACCACTGTTTCCTAATGATGACATTCATCTTAAGCACATATTGTACC